GGTTATCTGGCCGGCGGTAGTAACACTCGCGGTGCTTACCGCAACTGTTGCTGGAATTTGGCCTGTTCCAGGCGCGCTTAATTAGGTACAGGCACGGTAAGACGGTGGGACTGTCTTTGTTACTAGACACGACCATGATAGTCCGATCTTTATGTGAATGCAATGATTGTGTGTGTGTAATTGAAATGAACTTCGAACTTGAGGCACAGTATCTTTACACGCCCTGGGAGCAGTAATGGATTTAGCTCTTTGTATGTTTTATGCTTGTGACGCGCCCTCATTATATTAACCGTTGCCTAATTATAATGTCTGCACAGTAGGTCTGGCGTTGACGCTTGGGATTTTGTTGAAATACTGATGATAAAACTTCACGGAGGATTGTCACCTATGGCTTCTTGTTCTATCTTGCATTGTGCTAACATGTGTTCAACTCTGACGTGATTAGCATTGTCGCATTTACTAAGTTAAAATTAGGGTCAAGATGACCATTACAGTTCAGAAATAGGCATTCAGTTCAAATATAACAATGATCGCACAAAATCAATTGGATTCGTATTCTTTTACTTTGTTTCCTACACCTTTTTACCATCGTTTAACCAATTCGTTCACTTAAAGGCCATGGAAGTTATGATAGTTGTATATCCATGTTGCATGAAAATATTGAAAACTATATCGCACAAACACACAAACCCAGTTATCAAACTTATCAGTAGATGGGGATGTTTGGCTGGCCCTGTGGTGACCTCAGTACAAACAGCAAACTGCACAGTTGGGCAAATAACCCACTCTTTCAGCTGTTAACGGCAGGGATTGCTTATTGAGCAAAAGTTGGATCTTTTGTCTTCCAAGTCTGTCTTCAAAAAACAAGTCAAACCCATTGATTCAGGAGTTACGGTAGCTTTTTTTATTTCTTGTGTCTAGTTATGTATTACTTGTTTGTACCTATATCAAATGTTCCTTTTGTATTTGCAAATTTCCCTCCTCGGGCATGAGTCTGCAATGAACAATCATTATTGAGCGCTCATTTCCTGTCTTTACTACTCCAGCGGCATGGCTTTAAAATCAGCCGAATTGTGCACCTTTGTCTAAAAGCGCTAAATTTGGCACACGTGAAGTTGAACATATTCTACACAAATATGAGGAGGCCGGCATGAGTAGAAATTTGCTAGCCTCTACCAGGCTTCGGGAGGCAGCCGGAAAGAGTAGAAATATACTAATATACCGGCGGCGGGCAGATAGAGAGCCTGGTAGAGGCTAGAAATTTGCAAAATAGACGGATAACATGACAGGGGAGCTACTAGAAGTTAGCTAAAGGAAAGGGGATACAGTTTGCCGATTCCGAAGTGTACCCGATCCTTAAAGCATACCAACTCCCCTAGTATTTCATGATCTATTTGACCGATTCTACTCTTTCCAGTCACCGCTGAAGCCTGGTATATATTGAGGCTATCCTTCTCTTACTTTGTCACTACTAGAAGTTTTCTTATCTCTCACGCCCTTCATTATCAAACACCGTATCACCAGTGTGCTTCGGACACTAAAGGCACTCAGTTACTATCAATTCTTTCCCCTCTCGACTTTAGCGTCTCCTACTGACGAGTGATGGTATTTCAGTCTAATTTCAACGACCAGCCGCACGCCTGCCGTTGAGATTAGTCTATTTAGATAAGAACTGAAACCTCAAAGGTGAAATACGTAGAACCTTGTAAGATTATTTGAGATAATATCCAATGGTTGATCATGAGTTCTAAAAATGGGTAGGATCTCTCTTTAAAACAAATCGACATTTTAACGGTGTCCTATCTCTGTTAGAAGTGTACCATCTTGAACAATACTTAGTTCTTATCTATACACACATTTCTATTTAGTAATTCAGTGTTGTTAATCATCAGCGAAACTAGTACCAGCGTCAGCGATTTATGCTAGATAGAACACACATTATTCAAGATGGTACACTTCTAACAGAGGCAGGACTCCTAAAATGTTTGTTTGTTTTAGAGAGAGATCCTACTCTGTTTTAGAACTCAGTGAACTACACTACTAGTATCATAAAGCTAAGATACTTATCTTGAGTTATCATGCTAAACCACATACATGAATACATACAAGCGCTATTGGAAATACAACCTTCTTCCCGAAGGTAATAAACATCTACGGGGAGGGCGGAGTGCATGTTACGAGTATCCAAGTATGACGTCATGGAATGGATGACGCACTTGCAATGCAATGTAAACTCGACAGGCGGCGCGATGTACCGTACCGTCATGACGTACCAGGCTATGACGTAATCTCTTGAGAGGTGATGTTTCCGATGTACCGAGCCAGTTCACTCCGATTGGAACCTGAAAGAAACATGATCGCAGCTGAAAATATGCAGAAAATACTTTCAGAAAAAGATCATTTAAGTTCCATTGTCAAAGCATTTACCAGCAAGGAGAGAAACGATTGCTCAACCCTTCCATCATGACAATTCATGAGCCACTCCCACTTTTCCTACTGATGCCGATAGAGATTCTCTCTAACTTTCTCTGTCAATAGCCTATCTTCAGCGTGCACACACACACACACACACACACACACACACACACACACACACACACACACACACAAACATACCTGTCCTTGGTGCTGAATGCTACACACACACACACACACACACACACAAAAACACCTGTCCTTGGTGCTGAATGCTACACATACACACAAACATACCTGTCCTTGGTGCTGAATACTATAGCTACACACACATACACACACATGAGCGCGCACAACCACACACAAAAATACCTGTCCTTGGTGCTAAATGCTACACACATGCACACACACACACACACACACACACACACACACACACACACACACACACATATACACACTATACAACTCTAAATGAGATTCTATGACATTGACAACACACAGAAGCAAGAGGGAGAATGTCATATATTACAAAAAAAGCTGCTTCTTCCTCCACAGCTCTACTTCACAACAAACAAAAAGGCAGCTCTGGAACAAGGACTACAATTCAGTTGTCTCCAAGTAAATCTTAAAACCCTTTTGTTGTAAAAATTAATTACATCATTTTGTCCTGGTGCAACTACTGACAACTGGTTCATTCATTCCCACACTTGGAACATCCCATTATGCAACCAAGGGGGTGTCCCATTGGTTTAAAACCCAAAAATGCCCCTCTGGAATGAACCATTCAGTCAGAAATTAAACAATAGCTAATCATGCTACAGTATACATTCACTGGCAGTTTAAAAGCTGTTCTTCTTTCAGATAAAACTGTCTAAGGCACTTCCAACACCTAATAAATACATCCAAAAGTTCCAGTCCAATCTTTTAACAGCACTTTATGTCCTTCTAATAGTATAAAGAATTAACCTTCCAAAGTGTTCTCTACGAGAACCATTTTATAGAAAAGTCACACAACCAATTCTGTATCTTCCTGCACCTATAAATAAAAGCATCTTTGTATCTACAATTCATTTCCATTTCTTCTTTTTTTTTAGATTTTAAAAATGTCTTTGTAAAAAATGGCAAGCTCTGTTAAAAATAAGTACAGTCTGTCCCATATGCATACTTAGGCTCTAGATATCACATAAAATCCATACGTCATACAAATATATCCATTCTCTATAGACTATCTTCTAGTATATAGATATACAGGCAATGCACATGTCAGTGAAAACCTTGGGGGTGGGGGTGACATGGACAACACTGGGCCAGACCTTACATCTACTTGGAAATTATGATTATAATAATTTCATGTGAATCTGTATGTGTTACGCACAACAATAGCAGTTAAATCAACATGTCATACATGTATATGTAAACACAAAACTAAGTTTACAGCTCTTTAGAATAAAGATTAATAATTGCTCTAATTTTGCCCCAGAGTTTTCACTGACAGTGCCTTAAGTACATTATAAGTAAAGAACATTTCAATCTTAACATCAAGTTTAGAATTTGCTGTTATTTCTTGACTACATCACTATGTCATGTATGTAAGACTTCACAGTAGTTGGTCTTGTTTCAGGACATCATTCTTGTAAACTATATTTTCACCACTTAATTGTGATGGTTTGCATTCAGAGTTATACATCATTTCTGCTCTATATGAAATTAGTACCCAGATATACACTTACCATTAATATGTTTACCATCTACCCATCTTTGTTTGTTTATTTGTTTGTCTGTTTTATCACAATGAAAGACTTAGCGAAGGCCACGACAATGGTTTTAGATGTTTGTTGGATTTTGTTTAAATGGAGTAGCACGGCCAAACTTGTCTGAAACAAATAAAGGGCTTTGCAAACCTAGACCGGGGTTATGCATAATACCATGTTGTAATTTATCGACAACAGTTTATAATGTTGTCTTAAAGGTTTCTATTCAACCTTATGCGGACATGACAACACAGTTCAAATATGATATACAAACGATCATGTTCACTAAAACATACCGAATATGTTACAACTGTAGTCTAAAATATGTATCAGCTTTACATCTATTGTCAAAGATAAATTCTACCTCAATCAGATCCATCCAATCAGAGGTCTTGTAAGAAAATCCTTGCTCTGCCTAATGTCACAGGGTCTGTCATTGGTCAGGCCCAGGTCCAATCACAGAGAACATACAACTATGTTCTAACTGGCTTGTATTGCTTAAAAGGAGTTGAAAGCAGCATTATAAGTTAGAGCATTATTAATAGCAATGCTAGAAGCAAGTCAGGGCAATTGCATTTCTACTTTATAATGGCACTTGGAATGGAGGTCACTACATGTACAGTACAAGTAAGTTTTACAAGTCCTAGCTCTTTGTGACGTTCCAGAGATTTTAGTAGAATCTAAGTAGAATCCAAACTACTCAATTCACAATCATTATTTTATACCTTCATTAGTCCGTATTAGTTATTATTACAAGTATAGCAGAATTTCCAACAGTATTTTATATACATATTTTGTTTTTCAAACCTCACAGTTTTTTTCTTAAAATGAGTTCTCCTGGTTGTTTATCTACTTAAAGTAGAATGATTTTTTTTTTTCATTTCAGTCAACCCAAACCTACATTGTATACATGATAAAAACCATTGGTCCCTTGTGGGCTATATTATACTTTAAAATGAGCCCTTGAGTTATTAAAAAGTTTGTATTGAATATATGATTACATTGTGTTAGACTAAGAATAACATTTCTCTAAAAATCAATTCAAGCTGCCATTTTCAATTGAAGACTTCAATGTCTAAATTCTGAATTTTTATTTTGAAAAATTTCTTGCATTATGAAAGCCTAAATTTACAATAGGAGCTGCATCATTTTGCTGTAAAAATTTCTCCATTCCTTCAGGATATTGGCATGACAGTAGCAACAACAGTAAAGTCTTACCAGAATGGTCACATTCATTGTACATGTAGGTTGTACGATTTTGATGTTGTCGAATTTCAAAACAGGCTGCAACTGACAATGTTCTAACACTGTTGAATTTTTGTATGAGAGTGGGGTTGAGTGGCGTAAACAGTAGCGTGTTCGGCTTATACCAAGAGGTCCCGGGTTCGAATACTACAATGTTACTGGATCTTTTGCCTATGGAAGGCATTTTACACGACTTTCCTCACTTCACTCAGGTGGAAATGAGTACCTAGCTTCGGTTAGGGATGTCCCTTGGATAGGATATTAAATGGAGGTCGCATGTTTGAAGAGAGCCACACCTCTGGCCCAAGTACGTTAAAGAACCCACCATACTTCTTGAGTAGATGTCCTTCCCGGTGTGAGTGGTTCAAACCTTACAGCCGGTCTGCAGCTTGTACTTAAGTGTACAAAACTGGTGCGTTAAAGGCGTAACACACCAGTTGTGAAACAAACACAAGCACAACTGTCCCAAGATTGCTCTTGGTTTGCAGTTATCGTACAACTACTGTACACCAAATGTGACCAGGCCCCATAGGAAGTTCCATTGCCCTGCTACTAGAGCTACAACAGTAGATATTCTACACTACAGGTATGTGCCTCTGTCCTCGGGAACGGTGAAGTTTTTGCGCTCCAGGTGCGGCGAGCGCGCCATCTTGCGACTCTCCTGTTTGACCTGCGAGGCGAGGGCGGCCTGCACGGAGAGGATGTGGGCGCGGTCCTTCTTCTCTCGCTCCGAGTTGGCTTTAGACAGGTCCTGCATGCTGTTGTCAGGAGGAAAGGCAAATATCTTAAAACATTTTGTTGTTACAGTGAAGCCTAGGAAAAAAAACGTTGTGTTTCCTGTTTCCCAACCGATCCTAGAAAAAACTGCCGACCCTAGCCTTTTTTTGTTGGACCCCTGCAAGGGACATAAATTTTTTGAGCTGATCGACCCTTTCTATCTCCATGATCCAACACCTGAGTGATGAAACATTGTACCATCAGTTTTCGAACATTGACATTATGCAACTGTATTTGGATCACTAGAGATCACTAAAGTCCCCCCAAACTGAAAGAAAAAAAAGACAATCCCTACCTACACAGCATTTTTTTTCTAGCCCTAATGAACTAGAAGGGTACCACTTGCAAAGCAAATGCATAATTCACACATTATTTTCTACTTTTCTTGCATAATATTGGAAGGTAGTGTGGCGTCAAATGGCCAAGTTGCCTGACAGAATTTACATAGTATTACATATTAGCAAACAAGAGATCTACAGGTCATGGGTTTTATCCCTTGCATTCCTGGCCTTTGACACGTCCACGTTATGTCGTTGAAAAATGCACTTTAATACAGCATTATTTCTCACTCCATCCAGGTGTAAAACAGGTACCTGACTTTGGTTGGGGAAGTAAATGGTTGAGGAAAGAGTGGGATGGGCTCTCCTTCCAATACCAAGCCCTAGACACCGTGGACTGACAACCTACTATCCCTACAGGCAGTACAGCCTCAAAAAGGCTACGGGACCAACTTTACTTATCTATCGGAAGGTATGATACTTTTTTGCAAATGTCCTTGACTTTTTAGGTAACAAAAAGTGAGACCATACCTGTAGTTGGAAAGCAGCTTCTGGAACTTGGCTGCCTTGCGTCGGCGCTGAGCCTGCTCCTCAGGCGTTAGTGACTCCTCAGACTCCGTGTCCGACACGTAACGTTCAGGAATCAGCACTGTCTTGGAGGGGGGTAACAGCTGGGGATAGGGCAGAGAAAGGAATTGAATATAAAGTTTTCATTCTTATGGCTTCACCAACACCACGTAGTGTTGACAAATTGTTTGTTTTTATCATGTTTCTTCTTCTTCTCCTGCCAATTCTTTGAATGGATTCAATTTCTCCATTTTCGGGCCAAATGACCTGAAATTTGGTATGGAGGTACAGAGGGCAAATACCCCCAGGCATCGTTTTTTTTTTCTTATTTTTTTGATACAGGCTTTTTTATTTGAGTTTGGATTTATTTGCTGATGTCACATGTGGAAAAAATCATGTGTCTACAGCAGTCAGGTCAAAAAGCTGATGAAGACCGAGAGATTTGGTCAAAAATTCTGGTAAGTTAATTTCTTTGAGTTGAAGAACAGTTCAATTCTCATTGTGTCTATGTCTATGTACCTCTCTATTCCAGTCCAGATCAAACTCCACGGGTTCCACGTCAGTCTCGAAGATCTTGGGGCTGTTTTCTGGCTGGGTCACCTCCGCGTCCGCACTGCCATGGAACGGCTCCACTGGTGCTGAGAAATCCGGCCGAGGTTTCGTCTTCTGTAAGTTACGCAACAGAATTTACATATGTCATGTTATTCAAAATGTAGCTTTCGTTAAAGTCCTTGAGGGACTAGAAGGAACAGCAAATTTGACAATGGAGCAACAAATATAGCATGAGCTTTTTAAAGATTTGTCTGACAGAGCTTTATCTTCTTTATCTGAAGTCATCCAAAAATTCAGTATAGCTGAAAGCAGAGAATCAGCATGACTTGTACACCACCCACTGGAGGGTAAAGTCAGCTTACCCGGGGCTTTTTCAGGATGGAAGAAGTGCTCTTAGAGCTTTTGAACCGGCCGGACTGGTCATGTTGACCGAGGGTTCTCAGATCCACGGCGCTGCGCGAGATCCCACCACCATCACCGAACAGACGTTCCGCCGCGCTGGGCTTCCGTCTCCGCCCGCCCTACGCGGGAGACACACACACCACACACGTACATGTTAGTCACCTGGACATGGTGCTGGTTAATGTGAAGTTAAGACATGGTGCTCAGGGCATTGGAAATTCCAAGGAGACACAGCTACATGTACGTAAAACAAAATAAATGGAGCCTTTGGCCGAGTGTGCCGCTTTCAAAAATTCAAACACCATGTTCGGACGTTGGAATTGATATTGTTACATTTTACAATTTTTTGTTTAGAGACACCAAATTTTGGCATGTTTCACTTTGAAATGTGTATCTTCTCGGGTGGGTATGACACCTGATTCTGAGTGAATAAAATACAATACGGTATCTTTTGCATCACCCTTGGTCCCAGCCCTCCCTCGGCCTTTGGGCAGTCTGACCCACAGACAGGCTGGTACTTTGGGTGATACAAAATACACCGTGCTGTATTCTATATATACACTCAATTTATTAAAATGTTGTGACCACAGTCCCTTTAGTGCAAACAAATTCACTGTGACTAGGCAGTTTTTGTGAGTCTGAATCAATCTATCAAATTTGGGTGGCTCTATTGTTGGCTTTCAAGTATGGTCTCCTTGGGATTTCCATTGCCTTAATGTAAAAAATAAACAAAACAAAAGCATAACATGCGAAGTTAATAACTCTTGATGTGAACATGCAGAAAAGTGAGAAGTAAAACTGTACGACAGAGTACAGGACATACTTCAGAAGAAGAGGTGGATGGTATTCTGAGCCGGGAGACGTCACTGCTGGATCGAGACACACGCTTCAGACTCCTGGCAGTCATGCTGCTGAAGGTTTGGTCTGGGAAACCAAACAAAGACAGTTAGATGAAACAGAAAATCAGATATTTTGAAATTTTGAATCACTGAAAGCTCAACAAACTAGATGTTAGGGTACTATTATCAATAACTTCAATCAATTGCTAGGAAACCATTTACCCTAGCTATGGCCCAGTGGGTACAGTGTTCACCTTGCATTTGGTATGTCATGGGTTTGATCACTTAGCAGAGTCATATCAAAGACTTAAAATGGTACTTTTTCTCCAATAAGCACACAGTATTTGGGAAAAAGTAAGGTAGTTAAATACACACTTGTGTGGAAGGTACAGGAAGGATATTAGCATACATTAACTTCATAAACCTTTGTCAGATTAGAAAATAAATTTACTGTAATTCCTGATTTTTCACAGTACTGTTACATTGTATGTTCACTGTTTTCACTGTCACTTCTGTACCATGAACTTATCATTACAGTTAACAAATAATTCCTGGACTCTTTTTTTCCTGCACCTGTCGCCACCATGAATGTATAGTTCTGTGAACATGTCCATTTTTCTCAGACCGTGAACTTTTGCTACAATGAACACAAAGTAAATTACAGTTACTGTACCTCTTGGTCTTCCCGGGAGAGTGTTGCTCCTCTTGGGCGGACTGCGTGACCTCTCGTGTCCGTCTGTCTCCCCGCCGACGCCCTGTCGGTCCCGTGAGCGCCGCTCCGCTGACTCCCTCTTCAGCTGCCGCACGCTGAGCGAGCTCTTATGGACACCAGAGTTCTGCGACGGTTCTGCACTGTTGTCAGGCTTGTGTACCTGGGGGGTTATGGATTCAACATAAGATATTTAAAAAATACTACACCATGTCATGACATGTCACACACATTTTGAAGAAAAATAGCCCAGTTAATATTTCAACTAAATATAAACTTACAGAGATCACATTCCTCTACTTGTTGTCTGGACTGTTTCTGAAAATTGCACTCATTTTCACAAGATAGAAACTTACTAAAACTACTAGAAACTTTACTAAACTACTAGAGTAGAAGGCGTCACATAAGCAACTGAGTGTGCTTCTTGCCTAATATTCAATAAATATAATTGTGAATAAGTGAAAAAAAGAAAGAAAAAAACTTACTGAAAGACAGACATACATACGTAGAGGGATGTGATGATAGGAAGACAATAAGGTGCACAAATGATAGCCCCTTTGCACAGATTTTCTAGCAGCCAGTGTTTGTTTCTAGTTTGGTGGTTTTTTTTGGGGGAGGCTACACAAGTATTTCGGTAATGCGTCGGTGAAGGTTAGACATCCAGGTAATACGATGTGCCAAAAACACACTACCAAAAATGCTTTTTCTTGTTTTTCTTATTTTCTCATGGGAAGAAAATTTTTCTTTGGGGGAGAATAATAAGAAAAAAATAAGAAAAAAATAAATTTTCTGTATACCTACATTCTTGCACCAAGAACAATTTTCTCATTTTTCTTGAGTGGAGATAATTTTTCTAAAATAGGCTTCTTTAAATCTTGATTTTTCTTCGGTGAAGAAATATTTCTAGAGGAGATTCTATTTTATACTTACAAGATTAGAATTCTTGTAATCTTGAAATTTCTTTAGTAAAGACAATATTTCTAGGGAAGGTTCTAAGTTACAAGATTAAAATTCTTTTAATCTTAAAATTCCCTCAGAATTAGTTAAATTTTCTTATTTAATCTCCATGGAAGATTTCTTTCTTACCTGATATCAAAGTGGTCAGATTTAAGATTTTTTTTCTTGTGTTTGTCAAAAAAATTTCTAGTTCATGTTACCGAGAATGATTGAAAAGGGCCATTCTTGTTTTTCTTAGCAATGTTTAAGAAGATAAAAGAATGGTTCTTGTCTTTCTTGGGAAACACTGATTGAAAAAGACAAGAAATTTAATTATCGAAATCTATTATTAGAATAAAGCTCTGCTTAGTGTTTCTTTCTTAAGGTTTCTTGTTTTTCTTGACTAGAAAGCTTAAGAAAGATCATTCTTGTTTTTCTTGGCAACATTTAAGAAAATACAAGAATTAAGTTCTTATCTTTCTTGACAAATACTGATAGGAAAAAAAACAACAAGAAAGTCTAATATAAAATTGATCTTTGATTAGGCTGAAGATATGGCTAGTATTATATTCTTAAACATTCTTGATTTTCTTCCATAGAAAGTTTAAGAAAGACCATTCTTGTTTTTCTTAGCGACATTTAAGAAAATACCAGAAAGTTTAAGAAAGATGATTCTTATTTTGCCTGGTAATGTTCAGGATGATGTAAGAACTTTTTTCTAGTTTTTTCTTGTCATGTGACCTTTTCTAAACCCCTGATTGGTTGATTCAAATCCCAGAATGCAGTTAGGGGGTTTTGAACATAAGTCAGATGTGGGAGCCGCGCTGGTTACTTATTTTTGTCAGTTACTGACTCATGTCAGATTTAAAGTCAAAATGAAATCAAAAAGGACCTTGTGTACATGTGAAGCAATGGTGATCGTGGTCAGCTTGCTGAAGAAACCAACTTTGCAACAGAAAAAGCATGAAACCAAACAGATTGAAGGTAAGTGCGCCCCCCTCCCCACCCTATAAGATCTGTTGACATTGTTTTTAGTACTTCATAGCCCAAATATTGTTACAACGCCATTGGGGTTGGATTTCAAAGTCAAATCATATATCTCTGGTGTATTGTATAGTAAAGTTTATTACAGTGCTTTATGATATAATTCTAAATTGTTTACTCCAAGTAATAAAAATAGTATTTTAGCATCCTCTTTTGAGTTGTTGCCTTCAGTGCTCGCATGCAAACTAACACAGGTCTTTCTTGTTGTTTTTCAGGTTTCCAAAGGGTGTGACTTTGCCAATTCTATAATGCGAAAACTGCAGTTTTTGCTGAATATGCTTCTGATCAGAATGTAATACGATCTGTATTCTGAAATCATAATGGCTTGTTAGTTACATCGTATAATATTTTGAAAGTTACTGTTAAACTGTTTCCATTCCAAGAATGTTGATGGACTGATTTTATATTTTTAATTAGATACATTGTACAAAAATCAATGTGATAATAAACATCTCTATACTGTCCAAATGCTTTTCAAAATAACATTTTGTTGCTATACATTATTGTCTGTTTTATATTTAGGTAGCACTATATACATTGTATTTCTTTTCTTGTGGGGAGAATGGTTTTCTTCCTACAAGAACAGTTAGATCTTAGTTCAAGAAATATTTCTTTGCGTGGAGAATGGTTTTCTTGCCACAAGAAGAGTTAGATAATAGTTCAAGAAACCTTTTCTTGTGGGGAGAATGGTTTTCTTGCTACAAGAACAGTTAGCTCATAGTTCAAGAAATCTTTTCTTGTGTACAGAATGGTTTTCTTGCCATAAGAAGAGTTAGATCTTAGTTCAAGAAATCTCTTCTTGTGGGGAGAATATTTTTCTTGCTACAAGAAGAGTTAGATCTTAGTTCAAGAAATCTTTTCTTGTGTACAGAATTGTTTTCTAGAAAACTTAGAAATTCTTACTGCAAGAATAATATTCTAAGGATATTTAGTTCAAGATACATAAGAAAAGAAATCTTACCACAAGAAAAATATGCTAAAATGCAGTTTCTTGAAATTCTTGTCTCATGGACAAGATTTTTTTCTTGGGTGAAGAATAATTTTCTCAGTGGAAGAAAAGTTTTCTTCTCTGAAGAAAAACAAGATTGGCATTTTTGGTAGTGCAGTTACTCAAGTAACTGGATATGATTCTGGAAACAGTCAGATGTTTCAGGTAGCATCTCCACAACCTTTCGTCACTGACACATGTTGGTAATGACTTTCTCACCAGTATGGTTGGCACAGATCTCTGATGTTGTGCCTCCTCGCGAGCATGAGTGTCGTTCCCGGGTTCCCGTTCTGCCTGCTGGCCTGCTCGCAGGTCGTGCTGGATCCCCGTGTCCAGGTCTGTCTCCACAAACGGGCCGTCTCCTCCTGCTGTGATGTAATACAGTGTACAGATCAGCTTCTCTTAACCTTCAGCCTGCTAAAGTAGTCTTTTGGCACAAAATTTTAACTGACTTGTTATGGGGTTAAGCAGCAGGGATAAGGTTAAAGAACTACACTGCACTGCTAGATACTCTTAGACTATCAACAATTGTTACGTTGCATTTATACCTGCGATAACTAAAATTCTACTGCAGTTTGAATACGTTAAAAAATGTTGTGCCAGTGTTCTATACAGCCCCTGTCTTTGTATCATTTCATGGAACTTTGCCATCATGACAGACAAAAAGTTTGCCCAATCCATCATCTTTGACAGAGACATATCAGTGTGTAAAGATATGGAAAGAGATGTTATTAAACTGCCTCATATAGCGAGGCTACAAAACACTGAGTGGACTGTGACCTAAGGAATGGAGGAGACATAGACTCTGTTTCTTCCCTCAAATGAACATTATGGTGTTAAAGAAAACATACATTTTATATTATGAAAATTATGGCTGGGGGATTTCTTATTGCTGATATGAAAGATTACATTTAAGACGGAGGACTAATACTGTAGACTGTACATTTTGACAAGGTGGTAATTGTTACCTGTGAACTGCTGTCTGATGGAGTTGAAGTGCCCCTCTAGCCTGTCCCTCTGCTGTGCCAGGCCTGTCATCATGTTCTGTACATGGGCCAGGTCCTGCTGCAGACGGTTCTTCATGGCAGCCTTCTCCGATGCCTGGGAGCCAGGTTAAAATAACACAGTTCACAACAAGGTTCCTATACAAATTACAGTCAACCCTGTACAAGTGAATGACCACCTGAACAATTTGGCTTTTTTTTGGTGGTTTCTCAGATAATTTTTCCCATTGCCACAAGTATTTAGAATGTCTATAGTGACCACCTGTTCACATAGAGATCAGATTTTTATCGGTCCCCAGTTTTGACTGTACTTTAGAAAGTCTCAGGCACATCCTTTCATGCATTGAGTGTGTTTTTCTACATTTGTGGGTAAAAGATCTTCATGTAAAACTAAAGAGAGGAAAATATATTATTAACTTTTAAGATAAAATAGTCCAAGGTAATTTCATACCAAAGAGATGCCGTCACTGTCAACTGCAAGCTTTAAACTTCGAAACAGAATTTTAGAGTACACTGGTCATGTACTATACACTTCATCTACATGTATCCCTGATTATTTTCACGAGAATGGCATCTTCCCAAGGCTACAAATGTGTTTCCACAGCAAATCGATAATTCAGTACATGTACCTTAGATGGAGAACTGGCTGTGGTTGAAGTGGAGTCCTCCCACAGTCGACTGTGTACGGCTCTCAGCTCATTACTCAGCTGGCCATGCTCTCCAGAGAAGGCCTCCAGCTTCTACAGGTACATCAAGAAAATGTCTTAGATACTAGGACATCAAAAATTAAAACTGACTATATGTTTGAAAAAATCACCTGTATGTCCAGGTTAGTGCAGATAAGCATGTTGGCAGAACATACTGCATCTGTGCTAAACCAGTAATTTACTGCACATTTAGCTCTTCAACAAAACATCTTGGTTGAGGTTGCAGTTTTTATTTTGCATATTTAAAGATGACATCCCGTCCATAGTTTTCAAATGCTCCTTGGGAAAAGATATTGTCTGCAATGGGCAAAATTCTGATGCAATGTTGATCAAACATCCAACTAAAAATGTGAAAAATCCGTGTTCTGCCAACATGCCGTGCAGATACATTGTAAGCTTAGAGCTGTATTTCTTATGCCTGCCTGCGACTAACCTGCACTGGTCAGGGGACATGTTTTGGGGACACATTCATTATTGACAGGTATAATACTTTGTGGAATTTGTTTCCTCTACTGATCATTACAGTTTGCCAAACAAATAATTGACATGGTTTTCATTGGCACAGCATCTACAAAAATGTAGGAACCTGCCAGGGGTTTGAACCCAGAACCTCTTGATTCTGAGTCAACAACCCTAACCACAATGCCACCATTGCCATTTCTTTTCTTTTTCTTTCTCAATGACCTGTTTTTTTTTTTTGGGGGGGGGGGTCAGTTAAGACACCAACCATCACCTTTGACTCCTGTGCGAGGTCAGCCCTAACCTTGCTGATCTCTGATTGGATGGCGGCCTGCAGGCTGGCGTAGCGGTCCTTCTCGTGCGGCTGGTCACGGTACTGAGACATCTTCTTACTGGTGGAGTGTAACGTTCTCTCCAGGTTCTCCTGTTATAACAGAATGGTAACAGCTGTTAGCCACAAGAACTACAAAAACTATGTAACGATAAAAACAATTACTTGATTAATCACATTTTAGAAGTGGTTTTGTTAACTGCTAAAGAGGACCTTAGGCCACATCATCTTAATTTCTTGGTTAACGGATTTTTCTAGAAAAATAATGGAGCGGGCGGGCAAAAAAAATATAAAATTAAAACAGGCCTAAGCATCCTATTATGGCCCAAAATGGTACGATAGGAGCCATGAAGTCAACACACCAGACTGGTTCAAAATTTAAACAATGAATTTTGAACTTTTAATGATACCACTGCATTGAAAGATGGAATAACTGTAACAACTAGGAAGAAAAGTACTGTTTTCAACTGTTCAGGGCAAAATATGAACATTTTGCAATTTTTTATTTTTATTTTCAAATCAGAAAAAAACAAAGCGGACGAATCCATTAACCAAGAAATTAAATTGGTGTGGCCTTAGTTAAACATTTAATTTCATCTGAGCATCAGTAACTGTTATCAACAATTATCAACTGTTATCAACTGTTAGCATCAACAACTCTTAGTCCTATTCTGAAATGCAAGAAATGCCCCTAAAGACCACTCAGGGGCCTGATAAAATATTGTCTATGCAGACAGGTGATCACTTAATAGACAGACTTGTGTCAATGGGAAAATTTATCTAAGGAACTACAAAAAGTGGTGACATAGTCCAGGTGGTCATCATTATGTAGTGATGGTTGCACAGGTTTTACTGTGTTGTGATGTTACTGGTGTTACTGTGTTCTATACTAAGGCAAAAAAGTCACAAGAAAAAGGAGAAGTCTGCATACCATGTCCTCCTTGAGAACAGTCACCCTGGCTGTCAGTTCCTGCATGTGGCCGTCCAGCTCACGGATTCTCATCGACTTGATCTGCAGAAACAACAGACAAACTTTTACTTTCATTCAAATTAGTCTTATAGATAACACAGTATTCTATGCTTTAGCTGTGGTAAAACTGCAAGCTTGACATTGCTGGGGCTGTGCTTCAGTCAGACAGCATTTTCTGATCCAACCAAGCTCCAACACCACAATGGCAGTGCACACATGCCCCCTGTTGTTCACCAGCAGCACTGCAGGTGAAAGGCTACAAGACTTGCATCAACTAGTTTGTCATCACTGGGGCTTTATGTGCTGTACTCAAGCATGAATTTCCTGAGCCAACCAAGCTCAACCTTTATACAATGACCTGCAGTGCACACATGCCCCCTGTTGAAAAGCAGCAGCACTGCAGATCCAATACTTTCACTGACCGGCAGCAACCAAGCTGAAACAGAAACTTTATGCACTGCAGTGCACATGCGCCCCCTATGGCCAAGCAGCAGCACTGCAGGTACAGTACTTACATTGACCAGTTTGTCATCGCTGGGGCTGTGCTGCAGACCTGTAGTTAATGAGCTAACCAAGCTCAAAGAGAAAACTTTATGCACTACAGTGCACACATGCCCCCTATTGCCAAGTAGCAGTACTGCAGGTACAGTACTTACATTGACCAGCTTGTCATCACTGGGGCTGTGCTGCAGACCGGAGTTAGTTGTTCCCACCTGCTGTTCCTCCAGCTGTCGGCTGAACTCAAACTGCTCACGATTGGTCAGCTCGGGGTTGGTCCGCCTTCCAAACTGGTGTGCAAAATTAAAACATCAGTTAGAAACAGTAAGCTCTTTGTTCATAGTTGTCATTTCCAAATTTCAACAGATTCAGGGGAGAATGTATGGAATTGTCACAGCAAACTTTCATTCTAAAATGTCTTACCTGGTCATACTGTTTGTTATGCCTGTTGTCAGGTGTGTTGTACAGGTCTCCTAACTTCACCATGTTGGATACAAGGCTCAGCATGGGCTTACTGGCATTCAGCTGCATGGGCAATTTTGTGGCATGAAAGACATGTATATGACAACAAAATAGGTGGTTTACAGCAATAACTGTAAAAATAATTACTGAAATGAACCAACAAACTTTGCGCATTCAACTGAATGTGCATTGGTTTTGCAAGAAATCCTACAGGTATTAGCACACATGACATACCATGCATTTGCACAGGAAGAGATTTAGAAAACGTTCAGATATCATGTACATGTATCCTTTACACCGAATTAAAAGGTTGCACACAGTGTAATGAGGATGCAGTTCAGGACCACAAGTTCCTTCTTTAAGTTTAATAATAAACTATAATTAAAATTAGTAATGAATGTGGCAGACTTTGGTTGACAAGTATGTTGCCCCTACAGCTCCCTGAGCTATGGGAATTAGTGAGTGTGTGAGTGAGTGAGTGAATAGTTTGTCGTTCTACAATCTGTACCTTTCTCTCTGACTCCTCACACTTCCTCCTCAGCTCCTCGTACTGTTTCCATCTCTCCTCCTCATCGTGTGGGGAGTGGAGCCCGCTCGCACCAGCCCTGGTCATGTCACACACAGGCAGCCAATCAGAATACATGTAGGACTCACATGTCAGACATGGACAGCCAATCAGAATACATGTAGGACTCATGTCAGACATAGGCAACCAATCAGAATACATGTAGGACTCACATGTCACATATAGGCAACCAATCAGAATACAGGTAGGACTCACATGTCACATATAGGCAACCAATCAAAATACATGTAGGACTCACATGTCACACACAGGCAACCAATCAGAATACATGTAGGACTCACTTGTCACACATAGGCAACCAATCAGAATACATGTGAAATATAGAGTGGTTGACAGTACTTGGTGATAATAGCACCGGTAATAGCCACAACTTCCTGCATAACAGGTTGTTGGGTAAATATGGCAGAGGTTTAATCATCTGATTCTGTTGTCTGTATACACAACTAGCAGTTGTTGTCACAACATGTTAAGCCTCATTTTTGCAGATGCCTCCTCTGAATAAACATGTTCTAAACATGGGCTCAATTACCACCTATGTAGTGCAAGTTAGTACAAGTAAAACTGGAGCTGTGCAGGTATTTCTGATGTCTACCTGCACCTGACCTGCACTGGTCCATGTACTGGGTATGTGCAGGTTAGTGCAGGTAAAATTGGAGACGACTAAGTTCTGTAACATTGGAATGGCAGGTTGTACCTGGTGTAGGCCATCATTTTGGACAGGGCATCGTTGTGTTCCTCCACCAGCTGGTCCTGGTCTCTCTTCAGCTGAATCAGCAACAGGGTCAGCTCTTCATGCTGGAGGGGGAGGGGGGCAACATGTCAACATGAGATTCAGCAGTATTTTTCTTTTTTTTTTACAGTTCTTAGTGGCAAGATGTGTGTAGAGATCTAAGCACATTGGTAAAAAATTCAAGTCTCTGTTTCAACCCTTGTCCTGCTGGCATTCCTGGCACAATATGTTTCAATAATTTCATGTCTTAATTAGATCATAGACCCCCAATAATTTTTGGCCTGCAGTGGGAGTTACTTCTGCATTCATTGCGTTTCGCTGCGGTGTGATGCATTGCACGAGAAATACCCCCAAATCGTACCTATACAGGTTGCTACATAGATGGTACTGTATGTGCAGAACAACAATTGTTGTGGTAAGAGTACAAAGCAAAGCGAGCACACCAAATTTTCATCTGATCCTAATAGTGCTGTATACCGGTTTGCTGGACTGGTTCCGGACTTTTGGTTTAGGTTTTTTTAGTTTTTGGTTTATGTTTAGGTTCAAGTAACAAAAAACAACAACAGTACTGAATGTTGGGAACCAGTTCCTAAACATGAATTTAGGTTAAGAGCACTAGATCCAGAGGCCTTCCTTAGAAGTCAAAACCCTGACTTACTGATTTGCCCATGAGGTCAGATGAGGTCAGTTTGTAGCTGGGTCGTGAACTGGGGGGAACTTCGTTGGCAAACACATCATCAATGTCCTATTACAAAAAAAAGAATAAATAAAAAACACCTTGTCAAACATTTTTTCTATGACATAGCAGTAGCGCAAAAAGATTTACATTTTTGGAAGACTAGGAAATTTTGTTACAACAAAAAGGACTTCTTACAAAAAATAGTATATTACCTAATATTAGGACTAACAACATCACTGATGTCAACATTCAAGGTTCAAGTTGCCACAAAGGTTCTTTAAAATTTGTACCTTAATGCTTTTGTAAGCTTTAAACTGAATGTATAATAATGAATTTCATATAGTATCAAGACTTACATTTGTACCACTTTAATCTGTTATAATTCATGCCCAATCACATAAACACTGGTGCCTGTACTCACCCCCAAACTGTAAGCATCATCATTTGATTCCGTCTTGGTCTCAGGCACGTGGTTATAGGCAGCGTGAGACACCTTGGGGGCTTCTTGTACCGCCGTGCGGTAGTTTCTGCTGACTGCAGCATCCGGCTGGTCTACTCCATCTACAAACACAAAGATATACATTAGGCCACAGCAAGTAAATTCTATGGATGACATCCTCCGCAGACTCCAAATCTAATTGTCCTTGGACTCTGAAGAATCTTCCAACGTCTTTTTTTCTTGACAAATTTTGAACTTCCCACGTCCTGTCTGATGAAAAATTACTTGCTGTGGAATGTACGAAGTACATCGATATAAAGGAAATAATGTCAATGGCTTCCGAACAGTTTATAGTGTGATCCATACTTCCAACATTCTGAGCAAAACTGCTTGTCTGCAAGTCTGCTTGTAGAACTCCTTTGGTTGTGAGTAAAGAAGTTTGCTACATCGAAGAAGGTGAGACATCCAGATAAAGAGATACACAAGGAAATTGCTACAAGACACCACTTGCTGTCAGTGACTAACGGAATCTGTAGACACTGAAATAACAGTTTTCAAAATCCATCCAATTGCTTTTAACAATTTCCTTGTGTAAAGAAGGTTGTTATAGTGAAGTGGAGTGTAATACTATGTAGATGTAATACTATGTAGACAAGTGCTCACAATCTTGGTGCCTGTAGGCTGCGGGGAGGGGGGGTCGTACGGGGGGTGGGGGACGTCCACACCTGAGGTTGGGGGGTAGGAAGGGCCGACACGGGCCGCGACTCTCTCATGACGGCGTCCACTGATCTCGTCTCCGGGAACCTGAAGTGTTCCGACGTCGGCCGGACCTTACGCGCCGCGTCTGCCGGCTCCCTTCTTCTGACATCCTGGTAATTTCTGCTCTGGGATGGGCCTATGGAAGCAAACAACAACATACAATAGTCTAAAAGAACGTTAACTGAAAGGACTCAACAACTTTATATATATATTGACTAGAAAGGCACTAGTGTGCAAACACATTGAGTGTGATAAAGTAGAGAGTCAAATTTAGATACTAAAAGATCATTGACGTTGATCTGTGTTTTTTACGGAAATGCAATTTCCTTGATTTAATTACTAAAATGATTTCCACAATGATTTCCCAATTGAAGGGGAAGAGATCTGGAGCTTGGTAAACTAGATTTTCCTGCTTGAAGTTTCAAATTGAGTGAACTGGTCTATCTGGGTAACACTCAGTGAAACATTATGAACAGAAAACAAAAAAAGAATGGCAAAAACTGGTTGTAAGGTTCTGTGTGGTATCGTAATGGTCAAATAATTAGACGAAGGGATAGATAAAATGAGAGTCTACCTGAACTCGGAACTGAACCTTGTGACGTTGTACTTGACAGAGTCCGTTGTCTCCAATCCGACAGCTGACGCATGGACTCCTCCCTCTTCAGCTCTTTCGGGTCTGCCGGTGTGTTGTGCTGCCATGCCTGGCTGCGTACATAGTTCTGATAGTACTGGTCCTGCGCCGCCTTGTACCCGCTGCTCGTACTACGCGGTAAGGTGGAGATGTGCCACGACTCTTCGCTCGGAGGGGCGGCGTTGTATTTCGGACTCAGCTCCGCCACGTTCGTGTGTCTGGGTAACGTCTTGTACGAGTCCGGGTACACTCCTTTCTGGTGTTCCGCCGAGTAATTGGAACTGGAACCATTGTCCTGTTGGTAGTTGCGATAGTTAGCGCGGGGGACTTCCTCGACCGTGGACAAGTCGGACCGCGATTTTCCCTGGCGTTCCAGGGTCTGGGACTTCCATTGCTGCAACCGTTGCAAGGACTCCGAACGTTGAACGGTGCGGGGGTCGGGCGGCTGTCCCATTCGATAGAGGCCGCGGGGATCATTTGCATAGGGAAGGAGCCGCGAGTCAGATCGCGAGTTCTGTACGGGCCGCCGCTCCGAGCCGTGGTATCCGGAGTCCGTGTCCACGGAACTGGGTTTACTACCGGGCACATTGTTTGTCATCGCCATGCCAGCATGGTACGTTACGGGGCGCGGTGCCGCATGTCCGTTCCGATCGCCTTTGGGCCTGTACTGTACATAGTTCTGTCGGTTCTCCTGGTAATTTGGGGACCGATAGTTGGGCTGGTAGCCGTTCTGGGCTGACCTGTGAGACAAAGGGGTGCAACATTTGAGTACACATTATGACATGGTCAGCTATACTTACAAAACAAAGCACTTGTCATAGAATATTAATGAAAAAAATCATGTGACAAATTAGTTCATCTAAGTCAAGAATCAACAGAAAATAAAATGAATTTTTAACTTTTTACCGGTATCAAACCAACACATTGAAAGATTGAAAAACTGTAACAAGGAAGATAAGGAGCTTTTCACCAAAATTTGGTGTCTATTTAGAACCTGAATCTTTTTTTTTTTGCAAATCAGAAAAAATGAAGCATGGCGAATCCGAGAACCAACAAATCAAAATGGTGTGGTATTACAAAGTATGTGTTAAACAGAGTCTTACTGTTGTGATGACGTCGGTGTGTTCCCTTCCTGACTGGAAGCTGACACGACCCGGGGTCGGAGGGCGCGGTCCCTCAGGTTAAACCCGGCATCGTCCCCGTCTTCCGTTTTCCCGCGCTGGTTGTTGTTTTGCACGGGAGAAGGCACGTTGTTGGTGCTTTGGAAGAGAACAGACATTCATTTTGAGAACATTTTAACAAATTTATCAGGACTCACTGTTTTCTATCTTTTACGTGTTGTAGGCTACAGCAATGTGAAAGTATTGTGTAGGTGGCTAGTTCAAGTTTATACAACATATTCAACACAAAAGACTATTAAAAGAACTTTAACTTTTGTATTTCCTGGTATAAAATACCCACATTATGCTTCAGTTACTTTATGACCTCTGACTTCTGCTCACTTTTAAATTTTGTTCTATTTTTTGTTAATAAATTGTATAATTTCTATTTTATTCAATTATTAGCATTGTTACAGTAGTGTACTCCAGGAAGAATAGTGTGAAAGTTATGTTACAATAACACTAATGGAGGTCATAATAAAACAAACAAACAAATAAACAAACACAATTCCTCACCTGTTTGCTTGTGCTTCAGTCGTGGTGACAGCGTTAAGGGCTTTGAGCCACTTCACCATGTCTTCTCTGGTCTCCGCACTGAAGATGTATTGTCTTTGTGAGGGATGTGTCAGCTGGGAAATATACAAAATTGAGAGAATATCAGTAACCGATTTCAATGAATAAACTGGTGGACGTACCAACCACTACGTATCTGATACCAGCCCAGAAAAGAAGAGAAACAGTCATGCCTTCAAATATCAGAGTTATCAACCAAGAATTGAGGTGTTCAAAAACTCATATTTCCCCAGAACTATCGTAGACTGGAACTTGTTGCCACCAAGCACAGTAGGGGCATCATCACTAGAAAGCTTTAAACAACTCCTGCAATTAAATGTGCAAAGATTGAGTGTAACAAGTCGTTTGGTGTGATATAGCTAGCTGCCGCCGTGCCGCGTGCCTGCAAAGCTGGTGTGTTACGCCGAAGGGCGGTTATACCGGCTGTACTGATACAGAACGAACCTATGGACAAAGAAACTGAATCACTGACAATGTCTTGCCTGATTTTTCTAAAAGAAAATACCAATCATTATCTATTTTGTACATGGTACCTAGTGTACTAGAGAAAATGTCAGCAGACCGTTCCATTTGAAAAGAGGGGTGTTACGCGTGCATTGTGGTTAGGTTTAGATTGGACACTACAGTCTGCACTGGAGCATGCTGGGTGAATGGAGGACTTTTGTATTTTCACAGAGAGTTCAGAAACCAAGGAACAGGTGTGCAAATTCTGCAGAAAACATGCGCGGGCCTTGTAACACTTAACTTTTGCTCGGTTTGCGAGTCAGAGCCTTCTCTGTGGCTCTGTATTGTCTCCAAGGAAATGTCAAGCAAGAATCTAAATGGACAACATTTTGGGGCCAGCATTTGCTAGCAAATGCAGAATATTTCAGTCCATATGAAAGTGTTCCACTTTCCTGAACTTGAACATGGATTAGTTCTACTAAGTGGAAAAATCTGCTATGCCTTCAAGCACTTTTATGCATAAGTGCAACTCATGTTTAGCTGAATGGGGCTACCCAGCGTCTTATGATGAAATAAATAAATAAATAAAATGTACATTTATTGATAAGCAAGATTTTTTGAGAGAGAGATTCAATGGAAAAGAACAAGAAACAGACGAAAGGAAAAAAAAAGATCGAGATGATAAAAAAAACATGCATGCATGATCTAAGATGTATACTAATTACATTTACCATTTACCACTACTTCTTTAATCAACCTTAAAGAAAGGCTTCATCTTACCTTAAAGGCGTGTTTCTGACTGCTGCGACTCTTGTCTGGAGAAGCTGAGATAGCCTCCACTTTGTAGCCAATCAGAACGATGCTTCCAAGCAGGTTATTCTCTCCTTCATCTGTAGATGAGTTACAAATAAGTTGGAAATCCCAAAATTAAAAAAAGCAGAATATAGAGGCTGTTATATGATTTTTTTTTGTCACAATGGCTTCATCAGTTCTGGATATTTTTATGTTTCTTTTCAAAAGGAAAACATACATTATTTTTGCTCTGTTTCTTTTTCTTCTCCAAACAAACAAGGTGACTAGTACGATAGGACCGCCTCCATAGTAACTGGTGCTGTAGCAGATACCCTGTGGTGCTGGATTACATTATGTAGCAAGTTGTGGGATAGGATTAGAGGGGCTGGTCACCACATATATAAATACAGTATATTATATAAATTTGTAAGCATAAACAGAGCAATCCCAGTAGTTTGTTAGGCTTGACCATGTGAAGGTAAACATTGATGTTACTTTAAATTTCTAGTTTTAAATTTCTAGTTGAACATACTTTTGTAGTAGAGCAGTCCGCGGTTGGTCAGGACAAACCAGCGTTTCCTCCAGGACTTGATGCGTCCGTGGTCCTGTTTGTTCAACCAGCCTCTCATCAGGTAACCGCTGGGGGTGGGGGAGGGGGGCTCTTTCTTACGCTCTCTGTTGGCCGAGAAAAAAAGAAACAACTAAGTAAGTCTTCACGTCATATCAAGATTATATCATATCGAGATTTCAGACTTCCAGAGAAGTTTGCAGTCCTCTGCTTCCTGAATTCCCCCATGTTAATCACTAATTCCTGCTGGCTCCTGGCTTCACATTCCGGGACCATTTTTCTTCCCATGACCTTTTGACCTCCTGTCATTTTGTCTGTCAATCTTCCTCCACCCACATGCTGTCAACCTACTCTGTGTGCAAACTTACAGATACACCTACAAAAGAATAATTTAATACCCAGAAGTGACAAAAGAAAATTGACAAAGTTAACATAGGAAGAAAAAAACAACAGGGAAACAAACTAAAAGTTTCATATAACCCCATTGTGGACAATCCTTTCCAAGTTCATGAGCAAGGATGTTATTTGATATTCCAAAGTACAACTGGTATAATAGAAACCTCACCAGCTACATACTACACAATATATGTTTGTAAGGTATGAATTACTTACTTCAAGGTGCCCCCAAGGATACCAACGTCCATTGGACTCTTGTTGCTGCTAGAATTCTGAAAAAAGAAGATATCAGGTTTTTAGCTTAAGGCTAATTGAGGCTTGATACCCATGATACAGATGACAGCAATGTCCTCAACAAATTCATCTGCATTATAATCTTAATATAAAACACATGGATCTTAATTATTACATGATCTTAAGTAAAATCTTATCATGTTTGTTACTATTTTTCAAATATATTTTTTTAAATGTTCATTACGAGTGGCAAATTGCATTCCTTTAGCAGAGCCAATTCCCCTGGAATGTTATCTGTACATGTCAATTTGGCCAATTGAACCTTCTAAAATGCCATTTCAGAAGGTTCAATTTTTAAAATTTACTATGGGGCATACCCCTGGACCCCCCTAAGAACC